GCTAGCCTGCCTGGACGATAATTAACTTTTCCTTGGATAACTGCCACACGGTAAGTCTGATCTGAAGAAACATTGAACTAGTTCTGCAGGACAAGTTGGGAGAATTTTAGGGGTGATAAGTTAAGAACAAATATATGTTCAGTGTACGTAGCTAGGCTGGGCAAATGTTCAGTGTAAGTTAACACCGTGAAACAAGGAGGCCTCGTTTCACTCTGTTAATTACTTTAATTTGTGTGCCAACATCGAATGGAATGATAAGTAACCCTTTATTCACCACTACTACACACGACAAAGAATTGCAACACGTACGCGCCACCAACCAAATCATCAAAACACAAAGCTAAAACAGCTGGGATACACTACACCACATCAGTTTACTCTCCCCCGTCGTGCTGAGGGAGAGGGACGGATGATGATAACAATGCAATGGCGGCTCTTCTAAGATTAAGAACGACTAGTAGTGATTGAGAGCAAGAAGCATGGGTGTCGAACATGAGTATAGAAGTATGTGGTGCAAGCCCGGCAGTATCGACCTCCCGGCGTTGCCGTGGCTGGAGCCTGGAGGACGATGTGGACTCGAGGCTGGCCTGGTGCCCCTGCCCCCGCACTGCCTGGACTTGCTGCGCCCCGTCAGGAGGTGTATTTGCAACTCCCGTAACCTGCAATATAATCCAGATTCAGATACGCCATGATAATGTATATATATCAGTTGCAGTTCAGAGATCATGCAGGTCAGATTGGGAACTTACTGGGGTCACTGGAGGTGACCTCGCCGGTGCCCTTGAAGTCGCAGTCGTAGTCGTGCAGGCCATTAATTTGGCCTGGTAGAACGCGTTCATCACGTACGAAGCATGTGACTGCACGTTGTTGGGGTCGAAGCACGCGCCGCCGCTCTGGATCGGCTTACAGTCGACATAGCCACAGGCGTAGTTGATGTTGTTCTGCAGGTCGGTTGCGCTCGCGCCGGACTTGGCCACACACCACTTGCCTCCGCCTGACGGCGAGGGGTTTGGTGACGGGTTGGGACTTGGCTTCAGAGATGGATTTGGCGATAGGTTTGGAGATCCAGACTGCAAAGCCAGATAGAAGAAATGAGTTGTCAGCGCTGCACCAGAGTGGAACAATCCATTTGTCCGAATAAAAAAAATTAGAAACTGAATGCACTCATATGAGGGTGAGGCTAAGCATCATTTCTCCAATCAAAATTCCCCTGGTATGAGTTTGAAACTCTGAACCGAGATATGCTCATATGCACACTTGGTCCTTATTAAATCAATTCTTTGTCATAACTTTTTTTTTGGGGGGTAAACTTTAGCCTGACAAGACTCTGCAATTATACATATGACTTTAGCATGTGACGAGATACAAACACATGCTCTCTGCAGTCTGGAGTCAGTATTGGCACCAGCCAAAAGGCCAAAATATGCCCTGCCCAACTTGATCGCCCGCCTAAGATTCTTGAGTCAGTCACTAACACATGTCCTCCCAGCAGAATGCTAAGGGGGTGTTTGGTTACAGGGACTAATTTTTAGTCCCTGTCACATCGGATGTTGGACACTAATTTAGAGTATTAAATAAATTCTAATTACAAAACTAATTACACAGATGGAGACTAATTTACGAGACGAATCTATTGAGCCTAATCAGTGCATGATTTGACAATGTGATGCTACAGTAAATATGCGCTAATGATGGATTAATTAGGCTTAATAGATTCGTCTCGTAAATTAGTCTCCATATGTGTAATTAGTTTTATAATTAACTCATGTTTAATCCTCCTAATTAACATCCGAACGTCCGATGTGACAGGGACTAAAAATTAGTCCCTCGAACCAAACACCCCCTAAAGAATGCAGACAGCCCCACCTTCCCCACATGGTGGTGCACTTTGCCAGGGCATCAGCAAAAGCGACAAGCTTGAAATCGCTGCCCCTGCCTCATTCTTAGGGCCTGTTTATTCCCTAAAAATTTTTACGTAGTACCCATCACATCGAATCTTGCGGCACATGTATAGAGTACTAAATATAGACGAAAAAAAACTAATTGCACAGTTGGATAAGAAATCGTGAGACGAAACTTTTGAACCTAATTAGTCCATAATTAAACATTAATTACTAAATACAAACAAAAATGCTACAGTAGCCAAAACCCAAAAAAAAATTTGCATCTAAACACGCCCTTAGATTGGGCGTGGCCGACAGCAGCTGGCCGCCGCGCTGATGGGCTAATGGGAGCACTGGTAGGTGGTGATGAACCGTTGGTTGGATGGATGGTGATAAAGTGCTACAGTAACTTTATGCATGCTCCTTCCACTGTTTGGACACAAAGTATTAAATATAGACTTGAAAAAATATCTAATTTCACAGTTTGTGACTAATTTACGAGACGAATCTTTTAAGACAATTAGTCTATAATTTGACAATGAAGTGCTATAGTACGCATGTGCTAATGACAGATTAATTACGCTTAATAAATTTATCTCGTGGTTTACTGGCGGATTCTGTAATTTGTTTTTTTATTAGTATCCGAACACCTCATGCGACACCCCGATGTGACATCCAAAAAACTTTACACGCTGAATCTAAGCAGGGCATTAATCTTGTGTCTCGTGTGCTACCATCTGATTCATCATGCGCAAGTAGTAGCTACATATTGCCAGAGCTAAATCTTCCAACAGTAACCATACTAGTCAAATAGACCGAGCAACGAGAGAACAATGAAAATACAGCTAAATCTTCCGACAGCAGCCACACTAGTCCTAAATCTAGTTTTTTCATAAACGGTTTTATTGGAACTAGTATTGTTCTAGTAAGTTGGTGATAATTGAGCAGCGCTATAGTTTTATAGACAACTTGGTGCGAGAATGGAGTTCAGTATGCCGTGCTCGTTTGGACCGAGAAGGCAGGGGGAGAAGAGGGCCAACGGCTAGCTACCCAACGGCTCTATGTTTGTTTAGTGTATTGTGTTAGCTGTACAGCACATAAACTATATTTTATTGTCTCATAGGCTGATCAAAGTAGTATATATTCTCCCCCGCTTGAGTTTATTCACAACTACTTTTTTCAGCTATGGAATAGTATTTTTCTCTCACAACATTTCAGCATAGGCATCAGCATAAGCTAAATTTCAGCATCAATGAACAGGGTGATTATTGTTTTTCTTCTATAGACCACTCACATAATCAGCCTGTTCGTTGGTTGATTTCTGGGTTAATTTGGGTTGGCTGGTGCTAGTTTATTGTGAGAGGAAATCACTGTTGACTGACTGAATAAACCCTGGCTAAAACCAACAAGCGAACATGTTGAACGTTTCACCTACCTATAGCAAATATTTAATTGGCTAAAGGTTACTTTTTAATTACGTTGTGATCGCCCCTAAGACAACATATTTATGACCGTAAGGTTATTATATACCTCTATCAGTTTATACCTAATTGATAAGCTTACAATAGTTCCAAAAATAATATAATTTTTTTTGACTTATCGAGAACTGGGAGGTGCTTGTGCATCTCTTTCTGGAGGGAGTATTAAGCACGCATCACATCTCGAATCTGGAATCTCGACAGGAGGGAAAGCCGTGTCACGATAGGATGGTTTTCAAGTCGCCTCCCCAGGGCCTAGGTGGGCCGGCAAAAGAAAATGTATTTTATTTTATGAGGGTGAGGCTAAGCATCATTTCTCCAATCAAAATTCCCCTGGTATGAGTTTGAAACTCTGAACCGAGATATGCTCATATGCACACTTGGTCCGTTTGGCAAGGCTTCACTTCACTAGTGAAGCCATTTTTTTTGGCTTTAGCTCCACGAACAGCTCCACTTTGGGAGTTGAAGCCCCCAAATTAAAACCGTTTGGTAAAATAAACTTCTCTGAGAGAGCATGTTTTTAGGGGCTCTGAGGAGGAGCCGGGAGAAGCCACTATTTTGGCTCCTTCCCACCCCAAAGCTCTCTGAGAGAGCGTTTTTAGAAACTTCATCGGTGGAGAGCCGTTTCATTTTACCCTTTGCGCGGAAATCGGCTCCAAACAACTCCTGAAGCTCATTGGAGAAGCCCCCGCCAAACGGGACCTAAATCAATTCTTTGTCATGACTTTTTTTTTTTTTGGGTAAACTTTAGCCTGACAAGACTCTGCAATTATACATATGACTTTAGCATGTGACGAGATACAAACACATGCTCTCTGCAGTCTGGAGTCAGTACGGGCACCAGCCAAAAGGCCAAAATATGCCCTGCCCAACTTGATCGCACGCCTAAGATTCTTGAGTCAGTCACTAACACATGTCCTCCCAGCAGAATGCTAAAGAATGCAGACAGCCCCACCTTCCCCACATGGTGGTGCACTTTGCCAGGGCATCAGCAAAAGCGACAAGCTTGAAATCGCTGCCCCTGCCTCATTCTTAGATTGGGCGTGGCCGACAGCAGCTGGCCGCCTCGCTGATGGGCTAATGGGAGCACTGGTAGGTGGTGATGAACCGTTGGTTGGATGGATGATGATCACATGGTATGGGAGGGGAGGGGAGGGGACTGCTGGGCCCCAGGCATACCCTGTGTTGGGTCCGCCCGTGGGGTGGGTGGGAGGGTGCCAACGCTACTGAGCACGCACCGTGATGTGATGTGACAACTCACAGCCCATTTTATCTTTTCCACCGCATCTTGATCGTGTACCGTAAGCCATTGTTTAGTTGCCACCCCGTAACTTTACACATGTTATGTCGAATGTTTACACATGTTATGTCGAATGTTTGATCACGCTAGGATGGTTTTAAGTCGCCTCCCCAGGGCCTAAGTGGGCCGGCAGAAGAAAATGTATTTTATTTTATTAGTGTTCCATTGCAGCACTTCAAGGAACCACCGGTTCCATTGCTTATTAGTGTTCGCACATCCAGCCTTTGCAGCACACTGTTCGTTGCATTGCTAAACTGTCCACTGATCAGTCCACCAACCACTCAAACCAATTTCCTCTGCGGCCAGCCGAATCTATCTCTGCCGGTGCCGGTGGGGGGGATGGAGGCGGCTCTCGGAGCGGCGAACAGGCTCCTCGGCCAAGTCCTCAACAAGCTCTCCGACGACTTGGTGAAAGCCTACGTGTCCAGCACCGAGCTCGGCCTCAACCTTGACAAGATCGAACGCGAGATGATGTACACCAGAGGGCTGCTGGACGAGGTCCAGGGGAGGGACCTCACCAACAAACCTGCCCCGCAGGCGCTGCTCGAGAAGCTCGGCAAGAAGGCCGACGAGGCTGAGGATGCTCTGGACGAGCTCCACTACTTCATGATCCAGGATAAGCTAGACGGGGCTCAAGAGGCCACTCTGGACTTGGGCGGTGGCCTCGGCGCCAAAGCTCAGCATGCCCGCCATGCTGCTCGCCACACTTCTGGTAACTGGCTCTCATGCTTCTCTTGTTGCCGTTCAAAAGACGATGTTGCTGCTGCCATGTCTCTTGACCACGGTGGCCATGTTGAAAAGTTGCCATTCAACCGGGTGGAAATGTCCAACAAAATCAAGCAGCTCATAAAGGAGCTGCACTCTAACTGTACTCCTGTCTGTAAATTGCTCAAGATAGTGTCAGTCTGTAACCCTCAGCCACACATGCCTGCCTTCACTAAAAGGCCCGACACAAGCTCTCAAATCACACAGGAGAAGTTGTTTGGGAGGGATGCCATCTTTGAGAAAACTATAGAGGAGATTATCAGTGTGACACAGAGTGGTAAAACCTTGTCTGTTCTTCCTATAGTTGGCCCAGGGGGTATTGGAAAGACTACCTTCACCCAGCACTTAGTCAATGACCCAAGGATTAAAGAATGTTTTCCTGATATTAATGTCTGGATATGTGTATCGACTAATTTTGACGTGCTTAATCTCACCAAAGAGATCCTGAGCTGCCTACCTGCAACTGAAAATGGAGGAAATAAAATACCAAATGAAACTACTGCCAAACCTGCAACTGAAAATGGAGGAAATAAAATACCAAATGAAACTACTGCCAACTTAGACCAGCTTCAGAAATCCATCGCAGAGACGCTGAAATCCAAAAGGTTGCTACTTGTCTTGGATGACATATGGGAATGTAGCAGTACTGAAGAGTGGGAAAAACTATTAGCTCCATTAAAAAAGGACAAGACCAGTGGCAACATGATTCTTGTCACAACTCGGTTCCCAAAAATTGTAGAAATGGTGACAAAAGGAACTAATCCAATTGACCTCCGTGGTTTGGATCCTGATGTGTTTTGGAAATTCTTCCAAATATGTGCATTTGGTAGGATCCAAGATGAGCATGGTGATCGAGAGTTAATTGGTATTGCAAAACAAATAGCAGATAAGTTGAAATGCTCCCCACTTGCAGCCAAAACAGTTGGTCGGTTATTGATCAAAAAACCCTTTCAGGAACATTGGATGAAAATTCTTGACAACAAAGAGTGGCTAGAAGAAAATCATGACAATGATATTATCCCAGCCTTGAAAATTAGCTATGACTACCTTCCCTTCCATCTGAAAAAATGCTTTTCATGTTTTTCCCTTTTCCCTGACGATTATAAGTTTGCGAAGCTTGAGATTATTTGTTTTTGGGATTCATTAGGCATCATAGACTGTACTAGGAAGAATAAAAAAATGAGGACATAGGATCAGATTATTTGGATGAATTATTAGATAATGGTTTTCTTATAAAAGGAGATGATAATTTTTACGTAATGCATGATTTACTTCATGACCTTTCAAGGATCGTTTCATTAGAAGAATGTGCCTATATCAGTTGTTCTAGTTTTGACGCAAATGAAATCCCAAAATCTGTTCGTTACCTATCCATTTTCATGCATGATACTCATATTCAGAATTTTGATGAAGACATGGGTAAATTGAAGGAAAGCATAGACATTAAAAATTTGCGGAGTTTGATGATTTTTGGAGAATACAGTAGGTTACGCCTAGTCAATATTTTAAGGGATACATTTAAGGAAATAAGAGGTCTTCGTGTTCTATCTATATTCATGAACTCCCATAGTTCCTTGCCACACAACTTTTCAAACCTTGTCCATCTTCGGTACTTCAAACTTATTTCGCCTGATTACTCAAAAGTGTCTTTGCCAAACACAGTGTCTAGGTTTTATCACTTGAAATTTCTAGATCTTAACCGATGGGGAAGTGGTTGTTCTCTGCCTAAGGACATTAGCCGTCTTGAAAATTTACGCCATTTTGTTGCTAAGAAAGATTTTCATTCCAATGTTCCTGAGGTGGGGAAAATGAAGTTTTTACAAGAAATGAAAGAATTCCATGTCAAGAAAGAGAGTTTTGGCTTTGAGCTAGGAGAGTTGGGGAAACTAGAAGAACTTGGAGGAGTGCTCAATATACATGGGCTTGAAAATGTTACAACCAGGCAAGAAGCTAAAGAAGCCAAACTGATGGCAAAGAGAAATTTAGTTGAGTTGGGATTACTTTGGAATGAGAAGCAAGAGTCCACTGGAGATGATATCCTAGATAGTATCCAGCCACACTATAATATTAGAAGACTTCGCATTGTAAATCATGGTTGTGTAGTTGGTCCTAGTTGGTTGTGCAGCAACATCATATACATGAAAAACTTGGAGACCCTACATCTAGAGAGTGTGTCGTGGGCCAACCTTCCACCTATTGGACAGCTTTATCACCTAAGAAAGCTGAAGCTAAAAAAGATAACTGGGATATCTCATATTGGACCTAACTTCTTCGGTGGCACCACAGAAAAAAGTTTCACACACTTGAAGGAAGTTGAGTTTTGTGATATGCCGGAACTCGTGGAGTGGGTTGGGGGAGCTAACTGTCATCTGTTCTCAAGGCTTGAAAAAATCAGCTGCACTGATTGTCCCATGCTCACTACGCTGCTATTCTCGGGTTGGCCTATTTCTTTTACAGAAGAGAACACCATATGGTTCCCTAGTCTTCATGATCTTCACATTTATAGATGCCCAAAGTTGTGCCTTCCTCCCTTGCCTCACACTTCGAAGGTATCCCGTATTGAGACGGACTGCTTGGCTTATGATCGTACTAGATTGATCATTCGGATGCCCTATGAATTATTGGTCTTCCACAATCTTGGTGATGTAGAAAGGTTGACAATTCGGGATGCATCATGCTTCTCATTTATGGATCTTCAAAAGCTGCATTCCCTAAGACATATAAATGTCTATTGGTGTGAGGAAACGTTTTTGAGAGGACTAGATGATGGTGTCGTGCTACACACAGTCCAATCTCTCGAACTCACACAATTTCCTCTTACCAGAAAATCTTGGTCAGATTTGTTCAAATGTTTCCCAGCTCTTTCTCGTTTGGATGTGACCGCACCGCATCATCAGATGAGGATCATGAGGAAGTGGTACTGCAGTTTCCACCCTCCAGCTCGCTGAGAGAAGTCCGCTTCATAGGGTGTAATAATTTGATCCTGCCTGTGGAGCAAGAGGAAAGAGCTGGATTCTGGGGCGTCTCGTCGCTCGAGTCCGTGACCATAATCCATTGTGACAAGCTATTCTCTCGGTGGTCCAAGGGAGGAGTTGCATCTCAGACTCAGAGCATCATCTACCCTCTCCCTCCGTGCCTCAAGGAACTCCGCCTTACGGGTGAGCAAAGCACGCTGCCAATGGCTCTGCTCGCGAATCTCACATCTATTACCAGTCTAGAACTTGTTAATTACATGGATATCACAGCGGATGGGTTCGATCCTCGCATCACATCCAACCTCGAGCATCTGCGGGTGTACAATGTGAGAGCAACTGGTGATGAGGCTGAGCCATACTCTGTAGCAGCAGATGTACTTGCAGCGGTGGCAAGGACCCAAACAATGCCCGCCGGTTCCTTCCAACTGGTGAACCTTGCGGTGGACAGGATCTCCGCAGTGCTTGTTGCTCCCATCTGCAGCCGCCTCTCTGCTACCCTCCAGACCTTATCCTTCGATTGTGATTGGCGGACGGAGAAGTTCACGGAAGAGCAGGACGAGGCGCTTCAGCTCCTCACGTCTCTTCAAACCCTGTGGTTCGTTCAATGCAGGGCTCTGCGGTCCCTCCCCCAAGGGTTGCATCGCCTTCCTTCTCTCCAGGAATTACGTATCTGGGCGACTCAAAAAATCAGATCGCTGCCCAAGGAGGGCCTCCCCGATTCACTGCGACTGCTAGACATAGATAATTGCAGTCCCGAGATTTATGAGGAATGCCAGAAATTAAGGGGAACAAGGCCAGATATAGATGTAGATGCCAGAAATTAAGGGGAACCTCTGCTTCTGCATGCCTTTCACACCACGCTCAACTCTTCGGTGTACATCGATCTGCAGGTTAGTTCCAAATTAAAAGAAAACACCTTTTGCTCCTCTATTTATGATTTCATTAAGTGTGCAAACTGATTTTTTTATTTCTTTTGTAGACTGAATTTACGATCTATAATTTCAGCTCCTCACATCTCTCCATTCCTCGAGTGCAAAGCCTGTCGTTTGAAGACTGCAGGGCTCTGCTGGCCCTCCCTTCTCTCCAGGAATTACAAATCATTGCAATTCAAAATATGAGATCGCTGCCCATATCTGATTTATGAGGAATGCCAGAAATTAAAGGGAACAAGGCCAGATATACATACAATTGCCTTCCTTCATTCCTGACGCGGAAAGCTGAATCTCTGCTTCTCCCTGCCTTTCACGCACTCTAACTCTTCACTGTACATCGATCTACAGGTTAGTTCCAAATAAAAAAACAGCTTATGCTCTTGGATTTGTGGTTTCAATGACTGTGCAAACCAAACTGTTTTAGTTATTTTTTGCATATAGATATGACCCATTGCCATATGCTTCTGTGTTACAAGTGGATCATATCATGTCCAACTATTTATTTCTTTATCCAACAAATTCAATCTCTCCTACAATTTCAGTTCCTGGATCATATCACTCTCTACCATTTTTCCTGAATATTGCATTATTGCACTGAATCTCATACCGTGAATTGGTACTTTTAGGAGGAAAAGATAATTGTTTCAATGAATAAAGATCATGGTGCATATGCCTTGTTGATGATACTTTCTAGCAATTTTCCTCTTCAGGTACAATATTGCATCATTGCACCCTTCTTTAGTTTTATTTGAATCTCATGCCGTGAATTGGTACTTTTCAGAAGGAAAGAAAACTGGCTCAACAAAGACCATGTATTGTGGCATATCATGAATGGCTGCTGACTGTTTGGTTCCACCTTATTATATTATACGCCCTAAATCATGACACGTAAGCTACTTTGGTGATCTGAATATCTGATATATATATGCACAATCACCTTGTTTGTATCACAGCACTAGTAGTTGGCCCACAGCACGATGAGATGATATACTGGTTTTCCCTTGCAGGACTCTGCTTCATCATAATGTTACACATCGTTCAAAATCATAAATGAGCAAACCTTGAGTTCTGGCAAACTTTGGCAAGTAAAGCCAAGGGTATTCTTGACAAGGATGGCTTGGCGCCTACGTTTAAGAACCGAAGGAAAGAACAACCATGTAGCAACATGGTGCATCCAGAAAATATCAGGTGAGGCAGCAACTGTATCTGAAGATATTGACAGTCACAAATGAACCTTTTGTGTTTGGCATTGTCTCTCACTACATTAATATTATTCCAGGCTTTCTTTTCTTGTAATTTCAGGCCCGTAACTCTTGTTGTTCATTTGAAAACCAGTGGAAGACAGGAGATGCGGCATCACGAGTCAGACCTTTGATCATTTGAAAACCACTGAGGCTCTTTCTGATTCTGTGAACCAGCTTAGTGGATGGAACAATAAAAAATGCATTGTGAGTAATGTGTTTTTACTTAACGCATTTGTTTTTGTTTCTTTATTTCTATAAGAGAAATTTTACGATGGTTAGAAAAAACATGGGTCATCCATTGGGTAAGATCGGACGGTGGAAAAATAGAAGGCACCCAACTGAAAGTACCTATAGGTACCAAACATGTGGGGATAGTACCAAATTAGGTGGGGCTAGTACCAAAATACGTGGGATAAGATCTATTTTCTATTGTATATTTTATTTTAGAATAAGGGTAAATCCATCATTTTAGTCCTTTTCTTCCTCCTCCGTCTCTTGGACCATGGTCTTCTCTCACCCGTCGAAGCTTTGACCATGGAAAGTGTCACGCACGTGCTATCTCCCGCTGGATGGCCACGGCCACTGGCAGCCGCACCTGCCCGGTCGATTACATGCTATTCCCAGCGCCTCCCGAGCTGATGCTGTCCTTGCTCCTCTTCCCTATGCAGCCGGCAGCAGAAGCTGCGCCACCGGGCGAGCAGGCCGCTGGCCGCCATGTGCTTGGCCTGGCAGCAGCTGTGCCGTTGGGCCAGGCTGTCCTCAGCTGCACCATAGTAGTCAGTAACCGTCACAGGTGCCGTGATTAGTAGCGACATGAACACAAGCACCTCCTTTACTGGTACATGGCGGCGGCGGCCCAAACACACTGGATGCCCGAGGTCTTCAGTGCGGGATCGATGGAGATGCGCAACTGAGCGGCGGCACCGGCGGGGGGTCGGAAGTGCCCGATTAAACTTGGGCTGGCAGCGGGGTTATGTCAAGTTTGAGATGGACACAACCTCAATTACTAAAATGCCCTCTGCAATACATTTCTCAATTAATTGCTTAAAAATAGAAAAAGATGAAAGAACCTAGAGGTATCAATGTACTTTCCCTACCATCGTAAAAAATCTATTTCTATAAATGGCATAACCCTGAGCTGTATTGTAAATTGGCTTCCTTTCTTTAACAGAAAGGGCTCACAATTGTGGATAATAAGAAATCCAGCATCATTGAGTTGAGGAAACAAAGAAATTTCAAATTAGAAGGAAACCTGCCAGTTCAAGTTCTCATATGTCGAATTCAGCAGTAGATACACGTAAACCCAGCGCTCCTGACCTCTCACCATTAACCTGAATCTGCAGCCCAGGAGACTGAACTGTACGCTTCTCGCGATGTCAGGTGCCACATGCTTATATCTTGATGACAAATACGATATTATACATCCTCTATATAGAGAAACATTTAGTCCTCGTTGTTGTCAGATCAACAATAAAGTTTATGTTTTCTAGTCTCATGAAATGGAGGTACTGCAATAGTTTTCGGTATAAGGAAAGCATACAGATGTTTGTATTTTCTACTAAAAAATGTTTCTAGTTCCTTTGTTGATCTACTTGTTTCTGGTTCCTTTATTTTGCCAGTCTATTTATTTCAAGTTCCTTCACCCATCTACGTTGTTGTAGTGTAGCTGAGACTCGAGAATTGACAGGGTACCAGCTGAAGTTGCCTAATGTTTTCTTACGATCTGTAGCATTATCAAAACATAAGCATTGCTCCTGCCTGATTTGTTTAAAAAAAAGCATCGTGACCATCAGAATAGCAGTGTAAGCTCTTTTCTGTGCTTACAATGAATTAGAAGAATAGTTTTTTTCCTTAAAACATAAATTTTGTCTTTTCGAAAATTTTAGATGAATGCTTCAGATAAGTTATTCTTTTGTAGTATCTACCAGCAATGATCCCTTTCTCTTTCCCCTATTAATGCTTTCAGGTTGCTAATGCAATGGCTGTTAAAGAAAAACTTCTACTCCATGAACAAAAATCTGTTGAATCGATCCAGATTTTGCAAAGCAGAGATGTGCTCTGCTAGAAGTATAAAACAATCTCTTGCTAGAAACAAAGCAGAAAGGGGACAAAACTGAAGATGATGACTTGGTAATCTTTTTTCTGGTCAAACTTGTTTGTTATCATGTTTAATGTCTTTTTCGGGAATTACATACATCTTCATTTTCAATTCATCAAGAACATTCAATAGGTGATACTTCATCACCAAACTGATAAATGAATATTACTACATCTGAATCTTGCAATTAAATAAATTATATAAGTAGCTTTTAGTGCTCATCATTTTTGAACACTTGCATAAGGGTTGAATTTTCAGTACTCTGCTTCTTTTGAAAATTGAGCATTACATAAATTCAGATTCATATGAAACTATATTATTATATGGCGATGAGAAGTTTGAGTCCAGTATCTCGTTTCATATTAGCTATAAACTGTTGGTACTGCAAGCTTGTTCTTAACAACATCTAAATAGTATCACTACATCCATTAAACTATGGTATATAGTACATGGTGTTGTTCTTGTGAACCGATGAATATAACTTATTTTCTCCATGTTATACTGAAAGAGTCTCTCTAAACAATCCATTGCTGAAACAGATTTGCATGCAACCGGAGATATTGCTGGCCTATGAATCAAGGCTGGCACTGGAAAACTCAACATATGCCTGTGAAAACCGCTTCCTATATGAGATAGTAGATTTTCATCAATTCGCCACCCAGGACGATGCCTTATTGGATGATGAGGGCACAGATGTTGGAATATGATCCGAATTCTAACGTGGGTCTTGTGAGGACACTTGGAGGGCCCGCGGTTCAGGTTATGTGCTTAGCGGATTGGTTTTCGTATTGGACTGCAGTCTGTTTGTCCTATATATACATCTTGAAAGCCACACAGAAAGAGCACAAGACTCATTGTGTATTCTTTGTGTTTTGTAAACTCTCATCATTATATAGTGAAGATCGCTGGTTGGCGCCCATGGTTTTTTTCCCGCAAGGGTTTTCCACGTAAAAATCTGTGTCTTGTGTTCGATCTTTATTTGCATTATTTGCTAACAACAAAAGACGTATGACCAACATCACACTGTCCTCTTCTTTGCTGAAAATGTGTTGTTGTGGTTGAAGAAAATTCAGCAGATGAACACCACCACCCTGTCCCCTCCAGGCCTGAATCTCCTATGGTCAGCTTGCGTGGACAATCATCGCCCAAATCTAGCAATTTTCATAATGCCTCAAAGTCATATGCATCAGCATCCGACTTAGCTTCACGCGTGTGACTTTGCCATCTATGATGGGTTTTCAGCAAACATTTTTGATTTAGTCGAACCAGTGAGCGCCCCCATGACCGCCGCCGCCGCTCACCTGCTCGCCGGTGGCCTTGCGGGCCTTGCCCCACATGCCCACCCACCGTAGTGGCCTCCCGCGTGCCTATGCCTCCGCCACGCGCCCCTGTGCCTGGGCCACTCGACGTGGTTCCGAGCGCCAGCGTTCGCGCGTCCGTGCCTGTGCCTCGTCGCGGCCTTGAGTCCGCTCGCCCATGCCCATGGGCGTGACTCTTCCCCCACCCCTTGCGTGGACGCGTGGACCAGCGAGCTCGCGGTCGCTCCTAGATGCGACCCTGCATGCCTCTGGCCCACCCCTGTGCGTTGGACCGTTAAACGAGTATGAGGCTGGTCTGATTCCTCGTCACCACTGCCCCTTCCTGGTGGTACCTTCGCTGGCATTGAGCTCCCCTGCATGGCTCGACAGGTTTGCTCCCCTGGTGCCCTCCTTGAACTTGAGCAGGATCCTACTCTGGCAGAGTTAGTCAAGGACTAGGATTTCTCTCCAGGTAAGAGATTCAAAGCTGAAGTTCTTCACAAGTTCTCTTCATCGGTGCATCACCCATCCTCGTCTCCAGATGGCTCCTTCTTCATGCTTGTGGATTTTCAAAGATACCTCTTTTGTTTGACTAAAGAGTCAGTTGCTATGGCTATTCATTGTTGCATGGGTGGCTCTCCTGCTGGATTCCATGTTACCTATTTGCAAGATCAACATTTTCGCTTTTCCGTTGCCTCAAAGCATGTGGGTTTGTTGGTTTGTGCTCTCAAGAGGATTACCACTGATCACTTTGACATCTACTTCCACATGTGGCGTGATGGGGTGAAAACTAGGAACTCCAACAGAAAAATGGGAAAAAGAAGAGAAGGATAGCTGGTCGACTGTGATCAGGCCTAAAAACAAACACAACATGTCTTCCAAAAGAGTTTCTTTCCATAAAAAGCTCAGTAAAGATTCTCCGATTCATAAATCTCATCCTAATAGGGAGCTTTCTTTGGTGATCAAGATTGGTGGTATCTTTTGCCCTGTTATGAAAGACTCTTGCAAGGTTTTTGGGGAAGCTTCAGTTTCTTCAGATGCTCCTGTCAAGCATGCCTGCTCCTGCTCTCCAACAACTACACTAACCGATGTCCCAGTCCACCTCAATCTTGATCATGCCGACAAGACCCAGCAGTTAGTAAGGTTTAATGATGTGTTGCCTCCCCAAGGTGAACACTTCAGTTTTTTCCCAAGTCATGCAACCCGCCTCTGCTTCAGATGCTTAAGTCAGGCTCATCTTGTTAAAGATTGCTGGGGGAGACTCGCTGTATTTACTGCTTCAATTATGGTCATTGGGCTCGTTACTGTGTTAAGAGACAATTAGACCTCAAGCGTAATTGGGCCATTAAGCCCACGAAACACCCTTGGATGAAGAGCATGGTGGACAAGGGAGAACAAATTATATTCAATGGTCCCTTGGTCCCAATGCACCTGATGAGGCCTTGCCTTCTATGCTCGACTCCCAAGACTCAACTGGTTGTATTCCCTCTAGTAATCAAGAGGTCATGGAAGAGGATCATGGTTCTCTTGTGATAGTTGATGCTGCTTCATCCCCTGCTACCCTAGCCCTTCTCCAGCCTAGGCAGAGCAATGAAAGGGAAATCACTATTGATAACCAACCTGATGAGAAAGAAAACTTAGTGGTTGAACTTACTGGAATTCAACAGAACCAAACTCTAGCAATCAGCAACTCTCTAATGCCTATTATGATCAATAACATGTTCGAAGAGCAAAGGGATTGTGAGCAAAGAGAGGCAATCTCTAGCTTTCTTACTGCTGGTTTGAGATAGATTTTCAATGCCTAGATTGCGCCAGGCACCGGAACTCTGAGTAATCTGCCCATCCCAAGCTCTCTTATCCAAATCGACCTTGTCTCCCTGGAAATCAACTCCCTCAACACCATTCTAAACTTCCTTGATCAGAATACTACTTCTATTGTATCTGTTCTCTCTAACACTTTGCAGATAACCCAATTTCCTGAAACCCATAAGTCCTTGCCAAGTCTTCAACCTCAACCTATTGATCTCTACACAAGAAGTGCTCCCATAACTAGAGTCTATTACAGGAGAAATTTAAGGGCAAGGCTAAGGGACTCGACAAGGCAACTATTAGTGTGGAACTTTCTTCACAACATGATGAAAACATCTTACCTGCTTCCCCCGAAGAATACGTACCAGCTCACTCAACTGACATTGCCAGTATGGACAAGGGCAAAGATAATGTGGCAAGGAAAAAGAAATGTTGCACTCCTGTTTCCACCCAGATGCTCAGAAGAAGCCCAAGGTTCATTGAAAAGCTTAATTGGTGTAAACCTGCTATGATTTCTTCAAAGAAGACAACAAACAGAAACAGAACTAAGGGCAAATAGATCAAATCACAAACTAATCTTTTGGGTGACATTCTTCTCCCT